AGTATTTGTTGTTAATTAGACTATTGACCAATCATAATTTGGAACAGAAATTTGCTTTCACTACGGCAGTGTTGAGTGGGATTGGGTCTAATCAAACAAAACACTGTGGGGAGTATGCTAAAATAGTGACCTTACGCTCATAGACAATTTGTTTTTTGTCTTTTTGAAATATTGCTTGATTCGTTTGTCAAGTATAGACAGATGTATATAACTAGTACACTATTTAGTTTTTACGATTTGCTGTTCAAAGATTCATCATCCTTCTACTAGACCATGAGGTTATAATGCCGAATTAATAAAGTGTTGAAAAATAGTCCAGAGAGATTAATTGTATTTACCAAGAACAGCTCTTTTGGCATTTACAGTAAATTAAGCTTTTCAAACTTCATGGTTTGAAAATTTTAATGGTGTAATTGTGAGCTCAGTTTTCGTGATTAGATACTTATTGGATAGATAGATAGATCGATAGATAGATAGTAATAAGTAATTGTAGTTTTAATAATGGAACATTTTTTAAACTTGAATTTTTTGATGAAAGTATATAATCTGCGTTTATATTTATTTATTTCTATTTTTATTATGGCTTGCCGTTAACGGAACTGGAAACCACATTAATTTGGTTTCAAGTGCCATGTTACACTTTTCAGTGTGTAAATAAAGCGGTTTATGTTTCGTCATTTTTGTTGAAAATGGAAATTATTTACTACTAAACGGGTCGAGTGCCACCCATTTTTTTTCTTGATCTTAATACTATAGATCATTGCCTCTTCAGTCAGCATTCCAAAAATATACTTAAACCCGCAGTGGGTGAGATATAGATAGAATAAAATGACATACCGAAATTGAGCTATTTTGGTACCTTGAAGCAATAAGTGCCTGTACCGAAAATCGCTCCATGGAAATCCATCAAACTTTCAAAATGTATACTCACTAACCATATCTGCTACGCTATAAAGTTTCATTAATCTACTCGCCGTAGTTTAGTTGTACGAAATAATTGAAAGGTGGCCTGAAAATGGTGATTTTTTGGCTTTTTTCAGTATTAAAATTTCAAATTTTTTTCTACGCTCTAAAAATAGTTCGATTGATCTAAAATTGTGGCAGTGGGGTTTGGAGGGGTTACCCATCATACATAAAAAAAATGGTGAAAATCGGTCATCCACCATGTACCGGTCCCGGCATGGTTGTCTCGCAAACGCATTCTTAAATTCTAAATATTATGCTTTATTTAGCATGTAAAAAATCTCAGTAACTACTTACATCAACACTATAAATAGAAATTTTCTTCAAACTTTAGTGCTAAACTGCCAGAATGTCTGTCCACTAGTAACATTAGCAATACAATTAATTTTTAATACAATTAATTAATTAATACAATACAATTAATTTTGTAAATCATATCGCATGAAACTTCAGATTTAGATAATGTATTATTGCATTAAACTTTTGAAGAAAATTATTAATATATATAAGCAACAGTTAATATCTGAAAGGAAAATAAATGTGCCATGCGTCTGTCCAATTCAAAAGAGACATTTTATATTTACTAAAATGGTCATCTTTACTATCTTATGACCCAAAAATAATAGCATCTTCATTCATTTAACATAATTCAATGTATATTCTACCTATAGAGATTGCTATTTATATGAATTTTAATGTGCATTGTTTGCATTTGATATAATTTCAATATGTTAGGTATAATGTTCAATAAAAAAAATATTTTGCGAAAAATTATCTTTTCAAAAATATATTTTGGAAAAATATGTATCAATCTTCCCTGAGACAAGGATTTTGTAAAAGTAATTGGAATTTCATAATTCAGATGGGATTGGGAACCTATGGTACACTTTAAAAAAAAAACATGCCATAAGCAAAGCTATCGTGCCCCTAAAGCATCAACCAATCAGATTGCTTATCTCTGCTTACCGTAAGCAGACAATGTTCATAATTGAACTCCATCAAGGGATTCACCTAATGAATGCCTACACCAAGTTTGAACATTCTATCTCAATTAGAAGGAGAGTTATTGTGTTCCAAAGTCTCGACCAATGAAATTGCTTATCGCTCTGCTTACCTTCAGCAGAAAATGTTCATTATCGAACTTAGTCAAGGTATTGATGTAATAAATCTATACACCATGTGTCCTCACTCTCACTTAATTAGAACTAAAGTTATCGTGTCCCAAAGCATCAACCAATCAAATTGCTTATCTCTGCTTACCCTAAGCAGAAAATGCTCATCTTCGAACTCCATCAAGGCATTGACCTAATAAACACCTACACCAATTAGAAGGGGAGTTATTGGGTTCCAATCAAATTGCTTATTGCTCTGCTTACCCTGAGCAGAAAATGCTCATTATCAAACTTAGTCAAGTTATTGATGTAATGAAACTATACACCAAGTTTCATCACTCTCACTTAATTAGAACTAAAGTTATCGTGTCCCAAAGCATCAACCAATCAAATTGCTTATCTCCGCTTACCCTAAGCGGAAAATGCTCATCTTCGAACTCCATCAAGGTATTGACCTAATAAACACCTACACCAAGTTTGAACATTCTAGCTCAATTTGAAATAGAGTTATTGTGTCCCAAAAAGTGTGACGGACAGACAGTCGAATGAACCCATTTTAATAGACAATAAATAAATACCAGTGGCTGCCAGGCAGGATACGCCCACATTTTGCAAGAGATGGATAGAGAACAAGCTAAAAACAAAAAGGATTTTTTGTACAATCAGGGGCAATAATCCAGAAAATTATGGTCTGAAATGCGCAAATATCAAAAGGGACTGACATCTTTGGGATACAAAGAAATTATTTAAGTTTCATCAGAATCAGACAAAAATTGTGACCTCTAGAGGATCGACAACCTTCGTATTACATACTTTTACTCAATTTGCGTACGAAGAGCTTTCATTTTGTTGGCCAGTTTCATTTCAATTTTCCCAAAATTAAAATTCAACCTTCATTATGGTGGAATGATGAAATATCTAAACGGTTTTTAAAATCAGAAAAAAATTGTGACCTCTAGAGAATCCGCAAGCTAAAAATGCCATTTTTCGGACAATCAGGGGCCATAATCCAGGAAGTTAAGTTCAGGTATCCGCGATTATCAAAAGGATCCATGATCTTGGTGTGTAATGGTGATATATTCACACATTTTTTTTAAATCAGATAACCAGCGGCTGCCAGGCAGAATACGTCCACATTTTCGAGAGATGGATAGAGAACAAGCTAAAAATAAAGTGATTTTTCCTACAATCAAGGGCCATAATTCAGGAAATTACAATTCGATATGCGCAAATATCGAAAGGAACCGAGATCTTTGGGTTATAAACTTACATTTCAAGTTTCAACAAAATCGGATAAAAATTGTGACCTCCATAGGGTCCACAAGCTAAAAACGTGATTTTTCGTACAAACAGGGGCCATAATCCATGAAGTTTCGATCCGATTTTGTTTGTCAATTTTGGGCCAATTTTCAGGAAATTCGAACTCAGTCGTCCTTAGGGTGTATCGGTGATATAATAATACATTTTTTTAATCGGATAAAAATTATGACCTCTATAGGGTCCACAAGCTAAAAACGCGATTTTTTGTACCGAGATCTTTGGGTTATAAACTTACATTTCAAGTTTCAACAAAATCGGATAAAAATTGTGAACAGGGGCCATAATCCATGAAGTTTCGATCCGATACATGCCAATATGGAAAGCAGTCAAGATCTTTTGGAGATAAACCTATATTTCAAGTTTCATCAAAATCGGATAAGAATTGTGACCTGTAGAGTGTCCACAAACAAATTGTGGACGGACGGACAGACATACAGACGGACGGACGGACAGGGGCGACGGCAAAAAAGGCTTCTACGTCGCATGACCTTAAACACTATGTATAAATTTAAAGTCAATCGGATATTAACTTTGGTCTCTAGAGCGTCCACAAGATTTTTCAAAGTGATCAAGGGCCATAACTCTGGCAGCAAATATTGGATATTGCTGAAAATCAATAGGTTTCTTTGTCTCATGACCTTAAACACTGTGTATAAATTTAAAGTCAATCGAATATTAACTTTCGCTTCTAGAGCATCCACAAGATTTTTTGAAGTGATCAAGGGCCATAACTCTGGCAGTAATTATCGGAAATTCTTGAAAATCAATAGATTTCTTCGTCTCATGACCTTAAACATTGTGTATAAATTTAAAGTCAATCGGATATTAACTTTGGCCTTTAGAGCATCCACTAGATTTTTCAAAGTGATCAAGGGCCATAACTCTGGCAGTAATTATCGGAAATCGCTGAAAATCAATGGGCTTCTTCGTCTCATGACCTTAAACACTGTATAAATTTAAAGTCAATCGGATATTAACTTTGGCCTTTAGAGCGTCCACAAGATTTTTTGAAGTGATCAAGGGCCATAACTCTGGCAGTAATTATCGGAAATCGCTGAAAATCAATAGGCTTCATCATCTTATGACCTTAAACACTGTGTATAAATTTAAAGTCAATCGGATATTAACTTTGGCCTTTAGAGCGTCCACAAGATTTTTTGAAGTGATCAAGGGCCATAACTCTGGCAGTAATTATCGGAAATCGTTGAAAATCAATAAGCTTCTTCGTCTCATGACCTCAAACACTGTGTATAAATTTAAGGTCAATTGGATATTAACTTTGGCCTCTAGAGCGTCCACAAGATTTTTCAAAGTGATCAAGGGCCATAACTCTGGCAGTAATTATCGGAAATCGCTGAAAATCAATAGGCTTCTTCGTCTCAAGACATTAAACACTGTGTATAAATTTAAAGGGAATCAGATATTAACTTTAGCCTCTAGAGCGTCCACAAGCAATTGTGGACGCCGGACAGACGGACGGACAGACGGGGGCGACGACAATATACGACCACATTTCAATGTGGGCATATAAAAATGGAAACAAAGATCTATATTTCAATTCGGCTGTAGCATTTGCCATATTGTAGGAGATGCATTAAAACTTACCAATCTCAATCTATATGATATGTAACTTTTAAAACCAAAACCTAATGTAACCACAGGATAACCAATACTACAATATAAAAGATAGGTTGCCAGGCAACTAAACATATGCCCACAGCAGCTAAATCGTCCGGGCAGTCAACAAGAGTTGTCGCATATTTTTACTTTTTTCGGTAAGGAAACATTTATAATACATTAAAATCTGATTAAGAGTAACAACTCATTTAAGTAATTATCAGAAAACCATTAGAATTTGTTTGGTTTTTATAAAGTTCTGCACCATGCTAACGTTTAGTATACGAAACATTTAATATCATGGATTTACAGTAGGGATTTGGTATCGTTTAGAAGAATCCATGATCACTCGGACCACAGACCACTCGGACCAAGACAAGTCGGACCAAACAAAAAGACTACTCGGACCATGAAAAGATAGGTTGCCAGGCAACGAAACATACGCCCACAGCAGCTAAATCGTCCGGGCAATCAATAAGTGTTGTCGCATATTTTTACTTCTTTCGGTAATGAAACATTTATAATACACTCATGAAGTAATTATCAGAAAACCATTAGAATTTGTATGGTTTTTAAATCATGGATTTAGCTGTTCAAGTCATAAAAATTCATTGAAAATCAATATACTTGTTCGTCTCAAGCTCTTAAACTATGTGTATCAATCTGAAGTCAATCGGATGATAACTTTAGCCTCTAGAGCGTCACCAAATTTTTCAAAGTGATCAAGGGCCATAACTGTGACAGTAATTATCGAAAATCACTGAAAATGAATAGACTTCTTTGTCTCATGACCTTAAACACTGTGTATAAATTTAAAGTCAACCGGATATAGACTTTGGCCTCTAGAGCGTCCACTGAAAATCAATAGGCTTCTTCGATTCATGGCCTTAAACACTGTATATAAATTTAAAGTCAATCGGATATTAACTTTAGCCTCTAGAGCGTCCACAAGAAATTGTGGTCGCCGGACCGACGGACGGGGGCGACGACAATATACGACCACATTTCAATGTAGGCGTATAAAAAGACTACTTGGACCAAACAAAAAGGCCACTCGGACCAATAATAAGGTGTTGTTTTAATAAATTAATAATTGTGTTTGTTCCAATAATGAAGTGTTGTTTTAATTGTTGTTTTAAAAAATTGATAATTGTGTAGTGATTAATTCGTATGTATCTGTACTCACCCGTGTTACTAGCTGCACAATCTGTAGCCGTGATAATTCTTATTCACGGCTACAGTTGCATGGAAATAAGTAATTATGTTACAAATACTTAAGAGTGGAATACTGAAATCTTAATTTTCTCTTGCCCAACAGTTATTCTGTATTTTCGAGCAAGACGGAAGACGTCAGTAGTGGGACCATTTCTACCGTGTTACAAGCTAATCAAATTGATGAAGCACCTCAAAGAAACACAATTAAATTGTTGATGTAATAAAGATGACTATTTGCTAGAATGTACTTACTCGTAACCCACATTTAATAACGAAGAATTTGTTAAGTTATGTATATACTCGCCAATAAATTATTCGCGTCTTTGTATTGTGATTTAATAATGAATAACATATTGTCTGTATTTTATTTTTAAAATGAATAAGTCAAGCCTTATAATATGAATTAATTGGTCCTAGCAGTCTTTTTTTTTGGTCCGAGTAGTCTTTTGGGTTGGTTTGGTCCAGTGTCCGAAACAAACATTTTCCAAGCACAGGTCCGTAGGACCTGTGTGGCACGTGATCATGTGGGTCCTTCAGGTGACACACAGGCCCAACCAATAATAATAATATTTATAGTTTCCAAGCGAAGCACAGAATGATCAGAATAATGGAAGTACATATAAAGCCAGTACACCACAGAAGGACTAAGGGTTTAGTAACTTCCATTTCAATTTAATGGAAACAAATCTATTCATGGCTACATAATTTACGGTTTTTCTCATTAAACTAGGTCAACTTCAAACAGTTACACAAAAAAACTTGACGCCTGGCGATAACGTTGAGGAATGGCGTTGGCATAAACTCGCTTATCCCGCCCTAGATTGTTAGCACAATAGCCAAAAATTGTGTCAAATGAGGTCCCGTAGGAAATGGTTTTAAAATTATAAGCTTCCATTACCTTTAATAATAGGTAGGCCTACAGCTACACTGTTCGGAAAATTTTCCATATTCATGTTCCGGCTTGAAATTTGTGTCAGTAATATTCCTGAATAAATTACTGTCTTCGTTTTTTGGATGGATATAAAATGATACAGCACCGTGGTATTTTTCATAACACAATTTGTAGTTTTTGTCTATCTCTTAAATTGCAAATATGTTTTTATTCATTCGTCCATGAGAGACACATGGCACAGTGATCACGTGACAACCATAATTGAAATTGCTTGAAAATAAAATTCCGTACGACTATGCCATATAGTTTTCAATAATAATAACGACAATATGTTCAATATTTAGCCTCTGCCAGCAAGTGTATCAAATAAAAAATCATAACGGTAAACGCTACTTAAAACTAAACCTAGCTTCGCTGGCTTATTGACCTAGAAGAAATTCCAACTGATGTCACGTGTCATCGGCGGATTTGGCATTGAAGATTTTGTCGGAAAAATATATTATTAATGACTGTTTCTCGGTGTATTCGGTGTTCTATCTGAGGATTATATTCAACTAAGATTTAAATTTCTGTAACAACTGGTCAGCGAAACCATTAAATGCATGATCCAATTATTATTTTATTATCTACCGGTACCTGGAATCTATACGGAGCGTCGAAGAAGCACGATTCCCGAGCGAGATTCGCAATCCATACCGAGAGGTATGACTGTTATTGTAGCCAACAAGCAAGTTGATTGACTACTTAATGAAAGATAGGTTGCCAGGCAACAAAACATACGCCCACAGCAGCTAAATCGTCCGAGCGGTCAACAAGGGTTGTTGCATTTTTATTCCTTTGTAGGTAATTGGGGGCCTTTACAAGACAGTTCAATACAGATCAGATTATAAATTTTGTCGTTTGAGGGTTTACAAGGTTCTAAAAACTGAAACAAGGGTCTCAACTCTGGAAGTAATCTACAGAATTTGTTGAAATTTGACAGGCTTTTTTGTTTTACTAATTTAAATAATGCATATAAAGATAACTTTCATCAATCGAGCATTAACAAGGTTTAACAAAATGAAACAAGGGCAATAACTCTAGAAGTAATTATTGTAAATTGCTAAAATTCAATAGGCTTTTTCATTTCACTAATTTAAATCATGCATATAAATTACACAAAGATCGGGTGATAACTTTTGGCGTTAGATCGTTCACAAGGATCAATAAAGTGAAACAAGGGCCATAACTCTAGACGTAATAAACGGAAATTGCTGAAATTCAATAGGCTTCTTCGTTTCACTAATCATAATAATGCATATACATTTCGTTAGAGCGTTCACAAGGTGCAACAAAGTGAAACAAGGGCCATAACTCCAGAAGAAATTAACAGGAGTTATTGAAATTCAATAGGCTTTTTCGTCTCACTAATTTAAATAATGCATATAATTTTCAGAAAGATCGAATGATAACTTTTGACGTTAGAGCATTCACAAGGATTAATAAAGTGAAACAAGGGCCATAACTCTAGACATAATAATCGGAAATTGCTGAAATTCAATAGGCTTCTTCTTTTCACTAATCTAAATAATGCATATACATTTCACAAAGACTTGGTGATAACTTTTGGTGCTGGAGCGTTCACAAGGTTCAATAAAGCGAAACAAGGGCCATAACTCTAGACGTAATTATCGGAAATTGCTGAAATTCAATAGGCTTTTTCGTCTCACTAATCTAAATAATGCATATAATTTTCAGAAAGATCGAATGATAACTTTTGACGTTAGAGCATTCACAAGGATTAATAAAGTGAAACAAGGGCCATAACTCTAGACATAATAATCGGAAATTGCTGAAATTCAATAGGCTTCTTCTTTTCACTAATCTAAATAATGCATATACATTTCACAAAGACTTGGTGATAACTTTTCGTGCTGGAGCGTTCACAAGGTTCAATAAAGCGAAACAAGGGCCATAACTCTAGACGTAATTATCGGAAATTGCTGAAATTCAATAGGCTTCTTCATTTCAGTAATCTAAATAATGCATATAAATTTCAGAAAGATCGGATAACTCTTGGCGTTAGAGCGTTCACAAGGTTCAATAAAGTGAAACAAGGGCCATAACTCTAGACATAATAAACAGAAATTATTGAAATTAAATAGGCTTCTTCATCTCACTAATGTAAACAACATATATCAATTTTAAAACAATTGGATGATAAATTTTGGCGTTAGAGCGTTCACAAGAAATTGTGGACGATGGACGGACCGACACGGCGACGGCAATATACGTCCACATTTCAATGTGGGCGTATAAAAAGTAATAATTAACCCGTTAAATTTAGCCTAAAGTAGATCGATTTATGATACCATAGTGGCCGATTCATTGTTTTTACCAATTGGCTTGTTTAAAGTTCAAGCGGCTAAAGCCGACAAAAAACCAGTTACAAATCAAAGGCTGGTTCCGCGAGTCAATGTTTGGAAAAACAGCAGCTTCCGTCATGTCGATGACAAGTAAACAATAACCGTCAACTATCGGAGACTCGGAGGTTGCGTTTCTATGACAGTTCTAGCATTTCCCGAATTGTCGTATGTGGACACTAACTATGCGAGATCAGAAAGAAGGTGAAGGCCTGGCGGACCCGAGTAAAATAGGCAAGCAGGAGTCCTCCGATAAATCAGTCGGCCTCGGGCCTACGGACCGACCTTTGTGTCGAACACTGGTTTGGTCTGAGTGGCTTTTTGTCAAGCCTTATAATATGAATTAATTGGTCCGAGCGGTCTTTTGGTTTGGTCCGAGTCGTCTTTTGGGTTGGTTTGGTCTCTGTTTTGGTCCAAGTGGCTTTTTTTTTGGTCCGACTGGTCTGGATACCGTTTAGAACGGGGTTTTTAGCGCTGGAAAGTATGCATATAGTTTACTTTCAAATCATCGTTTGATATTGACATTAGCCTCTAGAGCGTCCACAA